AAGAATTGCAGCATCGTGGGGCTTTCCTGGGGGGGGCCTCGTGGAGCCCTCTTGGGCCGTATCGGGGGCCTCTTGGGCCGTCTTGAGGCCAGCCGGGGGTCGTCTTGGCGCCATCCTGGGCACTCGTGGGGCCACCTTGGCCGTCTTGAATGCCATCTTGGACCATCTCGGCCGTCTTGGAGGCCACCTTTGGGGCCTGCTTGGGTGTTTCGGAGGCGGAGAACGCTCAGGAGGGAAAGAAACACACAGACACAATTAATCGTCGAGTCCCAGGAAAATATGGGAAAATATGGGAATTGGGCGGGAAGACAAAAACCCAGAAAATATAGGAAAATATGGGGAATCATGTTATTTGTATGTATTTATTTGTGCGTCCCAGGGCCCCTTCAAACGCTCCTTTCCTATTTTGCTGTGTGGCTGGCGGGTTTAGCCGAATACCATTGGGAACGTTTTGGAAGGACTGCTGGCACGCCACACACCCCTTTGCAGGCAGAAGTGGGCGGCAGGTGTAGCCTTCGGCCCATCCCGTAGACAAGAGGTTTCTTAGCGGCCTCTTGGCGACTCTTGGAAGACCTCTTGTGGCCTCTCGGATGCCTCTTGCAGCACTCTTGGGGGTCTTCTGGGGAACTCCTGGAGGCCTCTTGGGGGCCTGGGGCGGTCTCAGAGTGCATCTTCGGGCGTAGGGCACCAATGGCCCCATCGTGTTCTCTCGCTTGAGCCCCTCTTGGGGACGGTTCGTTCCTCGGGACCACCGAAGGTTCCCAGGCCTTTTTGGTTGTTTTTTGGAAGTCTCTTCGGGGATACTGCAGTCCGTTCTTGCGGAGCTGGCGTCCTGGAGGTCCCCGCGAGACACGCAGAAAGTGCCCAACAGCACCCCAGAGCGCCTGTATCTCTGCTTGTGCTTGTTCTTTTCATTGGGCGCGATGCCCTCGGGGAAGCACGGCCCTGCCGATGCGACCTGGAGAGGTGATGGGCTTGTTTTCCACCACCACCACCATAAGTTGCAGGATTTGGATTGCGCTCTTGTTCGCCGAGGAGACTGTCAGCTTGGTGCGGCACCCACTAGCTGCTGGCAGAAACACGCGGTATCTAGATGTATCTAGCAGTACGGGCGCCAAGGTTTGGTGAATCTCCCCGCCCCCGCCACCTAGCCCGTACCACCCCCATATCGACGGAAGGCACTCAAGGAGCATTGCAACGCAAGAGGAGTCGGAGGTGAGGGGGTGAGATCGAAGTGGAACGGAGAGCCCACCCTACCGGGAAATCGGTTTCGGTTTCGTGTTCGTGCGTGCCGCGCGTGCGGGCGAGGCGAAGCTGCGTGGGCGGGCGAGAAGAAAGTCTCCTCTGGCTGAGGCGCGGCCGGACCAAATGACTCCCTTCAGGCAACCGATGGCCCGCGGTGTCCCGCCTGCAGACCTTCACGCCTGGAGGAGGAGGAACAGGAGGAGGAGGAGGCGCTGCCACGGTGTGCTGCGGCCGGGCGGCCTGCTCACCATCGCCGTTCCGTGGCGGAGCGCCGGGCCCCATATGTTTGAAGCGAAAGTGCGCCGCGCTGAGGCGAGAGCCACAATTTGAAAACGACCCACCCTCAATCCGTGAAAGTTCTGCAAAGGTTTACAACGAATGTGCGCCGCGCTGAGGCGAGAGCTACATGCTGAAAACGCTCCGCCCTCAATCCGTGAAGTTCTTGCAAATGTTTAATACGAATGTGCGCCGCGCTACGGCGAGAGCCATATTTTGAAAACCGCCCGCCTTCCATGTGTGAAACAGTTACCAATGTTTAGGTCAGAGCCATATGCGGTGAGGAAGTCTCGGGCGAAACGCCCGGCCCGCCCTAAAAACTGGTTCCGGGACGCGACAGGGAAAAGTGATTCCTAAGGAAAAGGAAGGAAGGATTAGGAGGAGGAGGAGGAGGAGGAAAAGGAGGAGGAGGAGAAGGAGGAGGAGAAGTCAGGCAGGGCCAGGGCGTCAGGATGAGGATCAGATCCCCGGTGCGCTCCCGGAGCGACACCTGTACCGATCCGATGGTGCTGTTGCGCCCGATGCGTGCCCCGGACGCGTGTGCTCTCGGCTATCCCCGATGTGTACCTATCTGGGCAGATCCTCACCTCTTGGCATCGCCCGGACTTGTGCATCGCTCCCGGCGGGGACCATCGAGGAGCGTATGCGATCGTCTGGCGAAAAATTATGTGCACGCTGCTTCGCCAACGTGTTTTGACGAGCGCGTCCTGGATTCTGACGGACCGGACACATATAAACACAAGGGGTGTATTGGTTTTACGACGGAAGGGGGCGTCGTTGAGAGGGTGTTTGGCACGGATGCGGGGATCGGGGTGGCGTCGGTGTTTGGGGCTGGCGGTTTGCGTGGCACGTGCGTTTAGCTGGCCGCACTTGATTGGAACGCGTGACGGATGGAAAGGCCGCTCACCAGCAACTGGCAGTCCTCTGCCCCAGTGCCAGAACATATCGTCGCGCGCTCGCATCAGGGTGTGGGACAAGGTGAAAGAGAAGTCCCTTCGATAGGCAGCAGACACATTTTTCTATTCAGATGCCGCACGGCCAACCGAACGAAGGAAAAACTGTCTCGGCGTGCAGTGTTAGCTTCGCGCGCGCATCCTAGCTTCCTTCCGTTGGTTCCTTTTCTTCTTTCTCGCCCTGTCTTCCCCTTTGCCTTGTCCCGCCCCCCTTGTCACCGCGCGCGAAAAACGCAACCCAAAGGGCGTTGCTGTAATTCCTTTGCGTGCCACGAAGTCTCGTGTAATTCCACTGGTTACACTGCCAGCGCGGGGGGCACACAAAGGAATTTCCATTGTGCGCGATCGTTTTCGCCAGCCCGACAAGAGCACGCCCGATTCTTTTGTGTAGACCTTGCTTTCCCGCCTCGAGGAGCGCGCGGGGCCTGGCGCTACGAACGCAATGCCGCGGCGCCTGGGAGTGTGATGCAGCTGCGCCGGATACCATGCCCCAAAACGATCCTACGTGGATGTCGTCACTTCTGCCGAAATCGCGCTGGCAGCTGGCCAGCCACATCGCCGTCCGTGCGTGCCCGCGCGCGCTACTGCGTTTTGCTGCCGCGACGCGTGCTGCTGTCAACGGACGAGCAAACTGACGATGCATGGTGGTTTGGCTGTGTCAAACCACCACGTAATCTCTGTTGGTAGCGGAGTTTGGGATTTTGCCGCCGCCGACGGCGCTGCCACACCATAGGTGTCAACTGCAACTTACAACACGGCCGTGCATCAACCTTGGTTCGGGTCGCCGGGGGTCCAGTGGCATGGGTGCACATGCGTTGCACCGTTGGTGATGCCAAAACCCTTTGTGTGAAATTCCTGTGTGTGTTCTTCGGGCTCATGTTCGTGGCATGTCTGCAGCAGGAGTTCGCGTCACATGTCAGATTTGGTATCGTCATTTTTTATGATGGCCCCATCAGGCCAACCCGAATCCCCCGTAACCGAGTCTCACGTCTTCCCGATCCAATGCCGCTGTCCCCCCCTGAGCCAGCCCCGCTTTCGAGTCAAGTCACAGCTCGGGCCTCCAGCGGCCGATTGGCGCGATCCGGCCACCCCCGGAACGCGCTCGGCAAGCGCAGCTGTTGGAGAGCATCCCGAGGCGGGAAACCCGCCGAGAAGCGACGAAAGCGCCTGATTGAACTTCGAGCATCGAACACTGGAGAGTAAATCACGGAAGCTTGCGCTCGTCTTGGGTTGGACGTATTGAAGACGCTTGCCGCTTGCGGCGAATCACCGCCGGCTCTTGCATTTTGGAAGAGTATAAGTGGCCGAACTTTGTGGTCAGCGTTCGGCCGAGGTATCGGACTATGTGTTCCGCCAGCCGGTTTGGAAACCCTTCGGGGAACACATGTGGGCGGAAAAAGAAAATGAGGAGAAAGAGAAAGCAGGAGGAGGAGGAGGAGGAAGAGGAGGAGGAAGAGGAGGAGGAGGAGGAGGAGGAGGAGGAGGAGGAGGAGGAGGTGGAGGTGGAGAGGGGGGAGGAAGAGGAGGAGGAGGAGGAAGAGGAGGAGGAGGAGGAGGAGACCTCTCGAACCCCCCTTGGGGCACTCCTGGGGCTCCTGAGGGCTGCCTGAGGGTATCCACGAGGCTTCTCGTGGGCCTCTTTGGGCCTTTTTGGGGGCGTCTTTGGGCCATCTGGGGGCCTCTTGCGGCGCTTCAGGGCCGTTTTGGAAGTCTCTCGGGCCGTCTTGGGGCTCTCTCGGGGCCGTGTTAAAGGCCATATTGGGCTGTCGGAGCAGAAAAGGCGAAAATTCCGAAATCATCAAAACCACGAGGAAATTCAATCAGTTTGGCCTCTTCGGGCCTTCGCGTACGTCTTTTTGGAGGGATCTTGGGAGCTTTTTGGGCCGTCCTGGACCATCTCGAGGCAATCTTATGCCGTCTTGGGTGCATCGGGGGCCGTCTTGCAGACATACCGCGGTCATCTTAGGCTCTCTTGGATAATTTTGGCAGTTCGGGAGGCCATGTTGGACGTTCTGGAGGCCTCTTTGGCTGTCGTTGCGTCCTCTATGGGCCGTCTTGGTGGTCTTTTGGACCGACATAGGGCCACCTTGGAGGCTTCTTGGGCGATTTTGGGTCCGTCTTGGGTCTTCGGAAGGCCGACGCGGAGCAAAAGCCCCAAACCCTCGCAAACCCCAATTTGGGTTTCTTAATAAGCGTGGGGGGGTACTTCCCCGATGGGTGTCAACCTCGCCTCGTCGTCGCGCCGCGACGGGGGTCGGAGTGCCTTCGGCGCGCGGTGGCTGCCGGCGACGGGGGTCGATGTGGGGTTGTCGGCCGGGTTGGCGCCCCCCCAACGCTTATTAAGAAATTCGGAGTAGGGAGCTCGATTATGTTGGCCGCCTCGGACCTTCTCGAATGTCATCTTGGAGGCCTCTTGGGCCGTCTTGGAGGCCTATTAACTCAGGCAATTTGTGGCTCAAGTTCTGGGCCGTCTTGGAAGCCTGTTGGGCCGTCTTGGAGACCTACTGCCTCGATCCCAGCGATCTCTTATCCAATGGTCTCTTGTGTTGGCGTCACGTCGGTGGCGCTCGTGTGCATGTCGGGGCTGCTCGTATTCCTGAGCGTGGCCTGGCGAGGACCAGTGGTTCGATTAAGTTCTGCGCTGGTATTTGGCCAGAGCAGCATGATCAATGTGAGCGGCCACGCGGGCAGCACGATCGTGAAGTCCAGGCGGAATGCCGCCGCGGCCAAGCATTGCAAATCATTGCCCTGTATCCCAAGTTTGAAGGTTTCGAGTCGGTCGTCCAAGTTGCAGATCATGGGACAAGCCAAGGGCGGCGCCACGGTGTCCACCCAGATCATGTTCAATTTCCTGAACATAACGAAAACGGCGTTGGATTTCAACGGTTGGATTCACGAATACCGTGGCAGAGTATTCAACCAGGATGCAGACCACGAAGAATACCGGTGCTCCGAGTGCGGGCTGAATGGCTTGAAGTGTCTCCAGATTGTGCGCAATCCGTTGGATCGAGTGGTCTCTTCGTACATTCACACCATGAGTTCCAAGATACACACATTTATCGAACGCGAGATCGCAGACTTCGCAGCAGACGCCTCTTTCGCGGAGTTCATCGCTTTCTTGAAACGCACTGCAGCAACGCGTAGCCGCTATTGGCAAGACATGCATTACTTGCCCCAGTGCGACAATGTCTGCAAACATACTGAATTTGACCGGGTGCAGCATCTCCCACTCGAGAGCTTGGATGCTGGATTGGCTTGGTTCGGCCAAACCGAAAACATACAGGGCCTGACCAGGAATAACATGTCATCGCACCACTACGTCAAGAAGTCCCCCCGGGTGGATCCAGGAGCAGCATATCTCCGCTACAGCAAGCATCTGCATGATTCGCCTCCGTCCTATGAGTCCTTTCTCGCCGAGCCCAGCATATTCAAGGATTTATGTTGTCTTTTTCGGGCAGATATCGAGTTGTACCGCATGTCATGTTCTTCAGAGTGGTTGCAGGGGTGCGCAGAATGCGTGGACAGTTGTGCCAGAGAGCTACGGAGGTTGGCGCCCTGCGATTAGCGGAGGGTGGATCGTTCGAGCGAGAAGACGCTCGTTCGAGCGAAAAGGTAATCCGTTCAAGCGAAAGCCAATCGAGCGAAAACCAATCGGGCTTGGACAGAGCAGCAGAGAGCACAGAGAAGCAGAGAGCACAGAGCAGCAGAGAGCACAGAGCACAGAGCAGCAGAGAGCGCAGAGCAGCAGAGAGCACAGAGCAGCAGAGAGCACAGAGCAGCGGAGCAGGGACACAGAGTGCACACAGGGCATGTGCGCACGGGGCACGAGCACACAGGGCACGAGCACACAGAGCAGGGCCACAGAGTGCACACAGGGCTCGTGCACGCAGAGCAATACCACGCAGAGCACGAGCTCACAGGGCACCCGAGCACGAGCACGCAGAGCACGAGCACGCAGAGCCCGAGCAACACAGGGCACAGAGCCGGGAACCGGGAATTTGGGCTTTTCCAGCCTCGATCTCTCCAAAGTCCTGGTTCCCGCCATCCTCTCGGCCGCCGTGGGTCCCTGGCGCGCCAGGCATTGCGGGGAACCGGGAATTTGGGCTTTTCCAGCCTCGATCTCTCCAAAATCCTGGTTCCCGCCATCTTCTGGGCCGCCGTGGGTCCTTGGGGCGCCAGACAGAGCCGGGAACCGGGAATTTGAGCTTTTCAGCCTCGATCTCTCCAAAAATCTTGGTTCCCGCCATCGTCTGGTTCGCCGTGGGTCCCTGGCGCGCCAGGCAGAGCCAGGAACCGGGAATTTGGGCTTTTCCAGCTTCGATCTCTCCAAAATCCTTGTTCCCACCCTCCTCTGGGCCGCCGTGGGTCCCTGGGGCGCCAGACAGAGCCGGGAACCGGGAATTCTTTACGCTTCGCGTATCCCCACCAGCCCATCTCACAACAGCAACTCTTGCGAAGCATGCCGACAGTCGTGTTTTTCAGGCGTGTGTCCGCTTGCCCCCGCATATCTCCCCTGTTCCTCCTTCCTCCCGCCTCCTTGTACATCCTCCTTGTGGGGGGAGCGGGAGAAGGACGAGGCGGAGGAGGAGGGAGAGAAAGCGGTGGGAGGCAAGAGGGACTTTGCGGAGACGGACGACCACAGCGATGATCCAACAACGACGACGCACCCGACGACGACGACGATATCGACCGCAACGACGACGACGACCACAACTGCGACGACGACGACGACGACGACGACGTCGACGTCGACGACGACGACGACGAAGGCGGCGACGACGACGACGACGACGACGACGACGACGACGACGACGACGACGGACGACTGGTGGGAGTCGTTGGGGCCCCTCGTGGTGTGAGTCGTTCGGCCCCATCGTCCTTGTGTGAGTCCTTCGGGCCCCTATTCCTGGTGTGAGTCGTTCGGGCTCCTCGTTGTGTGAGTCGTTCGGGCCCCTCGTCCTGGTGTGAGCCGTTCGGGCTTCTCGTGGTTCGAGTCGTTCGGGCCTCTCGTCCTGGTGTGAGTCTTTCGGGCCCTTCTTCCTGGTGTGAGTCGTTCGTGCTCTTCGTGGTGTGAGTCGTTCGGGCTCTTCGTCCTGGTGTGAGTCGTTCGGGCTTCTCGTGGTGTGAGTTGTTCGGGCCCCTCGCCTGGTGTGAGTCGTTCGGGCCCCTCCTCCTGGTGTGAGTCGTTCGGGCTCCTCGTGGTGTGAGTCGTTCGGGGCCCTCGTCCTGGTGTGAGTCGTTCGGGCTCCTCGTGGTGTGAGTCGTTCGGGCGCCTCGTCCTGGTGTGAGTCGTTCGGGCCCCTCCTCCTGGGTGAGAGTCGATCTGGCTCTTCCGTGGTGTGAGTTCCGTTCGGCTTCCTCGTCCTGTGTGAGTAGTTTCGGGCTCCTCGTGGTGTGAGCGTTCGGGCCCCCGGTCCTGGTGCGAGCCGTTCGGGCCCCTCGGAGTATAGTAAGTAGTAAAAGATAGTTAGTAAGTAGTAGTAGTAGTCGAGTAGTAGTAGTAGTAGTAGTAATAGTAAGCAAGAATGAAGTACTATTAGTATAATCGCACACCGTAGTCGTCAAGTCGTCGTCGCAAGTATTGTCCGCCAGTAGCAGTAGCATCACTAGTGCAATTGGTTCGATATGGAATTGTAGAATAGTAGAAAGTAGTAGTATAGTAGTAGTAGTAGTCGTAGTCGTAGTCGAAGTCTAGTCGTAGGAAACAAGTCGTAGGACGTAGACGTAAGTCCGCAAGTAGTAGTAGTAGTAGTAGTAGTAGTAGTATAAGTAGTAGTAGTAGTAGTAGTAGTAGTAGTAGTAGTAGTAGTAGTAGTAGTAGTAGTAGTCGTAGTCGTAGTAGTAGTAGTAGTAGTAGTAGTAGTAGTAGTAGTGGTGGTGGTAGTAGTAGTAGTAGTAGTAGTAGTTGCCGTAGGGGCCCCTCTTCCTGGTGTGAGTCGTTCGGGCTCCTCGTGGTGTCAGTCGTTCGGGCCCCTTGTCCTGGCGTGAGTTGTTCGGGCTCCTGGTGGTTCGAGTCGTTCGGGCCTCTCGTCCTGGTGTGAGTCGTTCGGGCCTTTCTTCCTGGTGTGAGTCGTTCGGGCTCTTCGTGGTGTGGGTCGTTCGGGCTCTTCGTCCTGGTGTGAGTCGTTCGGGCTTCTCGTGGTGTGAGTTTGTTCGGCGCCCCTTGTCTTGGTGTGAGTCGTTCGGGGCCCTCGTCCTGGTGTGAGTCGTTCGGGCTCCTCGTGGTGTGAGTCGTTCGGGCGCCTCGTCCTGGTGTGAGTCGTTCGGGCCTTTCCTCCTGGTGTGAGTCGTTCGGGCTCTTCGTGGTGTGAGTCGTTCGGGCTCCTCGTCTTGGTGTGCGTCGTTCGGGCTCCTCATGGTGTGAGGCGTTCGGGCACCTCGTCCTGGTGCGAGTCGTTCGGGCCCCTCGTAGTAGTAGTAGTAGTAGTAGTAGTAGTAGTAGTAGTAGTAGTCGTAGTCGTAGTAGTAGTAGTAGTAGTAGTAGTAGTCGTAGTCGTAGTCGTAGTAGTAGTAGTAGTAGTAGGTAGTAAGTAGTAGTAGTAGTAGAATTAATAGTAGTAGTAGTAGTAGTAGTTCGTAGTAAGTAGTCGTATTAGTAGTAGTAGTATTGTATAAGTAGTAGTAGTGGTTAGTTAGTAGTAGTAGTAGTAGTAGTAGTAGTAGTAGTACTAGTAGTAGTAGTAGATCTCAGGAGAGGCCCAAGTCTCTATTGTCCTCCAGCGTTGTCGTCGTTGTTGCCATTCTGGCTCACAGTATTGCAGTGTGGCTGTGAGCTTAGCTCCGCCTACCAGCAATCGTTTCCGCCTACTAGCAATTTTCCTGCGGCTGACATGGAGAAGCGCCCGTACGCTCTGGTAACCTTGCCAGCAAGGAGGGCTTCTTGGAGCGAGCGTGGAGAATGTCGGTCGTCGACGAGGCCAGTGAGCGTAGCTCAGCCCACCCCGTCTGCTCCGACAGGAAGCGTGGCCATCCCTGAGGACCCGCCGCGGTATGAATGGTGCGGAGGCGCCGAGAATGCAATCTCTCACGTTTGCAAGAGGTGCGGCCTCGACGTGTGCAACGACGTACAGCAGTGCTTTGCTTTCGCGAGCACTGGGCCTTCTGATTCGGCTGTCGCTCGTGACACCGCGTTGGAGCATGTATTCCACGACGGCGGAGTCCATTGCGGGGTGGACTCTTTCACGATTCGTGCATTAGTCGACCAGGTCGCTCCGGGAGTTGGGACATGGAGCGGCAGCCCAGCGATGGGACGTGCAGGAGATGTTCGACAAGGTGAACCGTAATGTGGACTTGTTGGAGTGGATGCCAGGCATGAAGTTTGGCCACTTGTTGCTACCGTGCGCCACCGCAGAGGTGAGCTCCGAAACAGGCAAAGGCGTTTCGGTCCTCTGCTTCCCATTCCTTCATGCTCACGCGGGTCTGGAGGTCGAGAGCGCTATAACAGAACTCTGCATTCTGGCTTGGTCGACGACGACGACGACGTCGACGCCGACGCGGACGACGACGACGACGACGACGACGCGACGACGACGACGTCGACACAACGACGACGACGACGACTACGACGTCAATGGTGACGCCGACGGCGAGCGGAACGCACGCGCCCATCGTGGTTTTGGCACGATGTGGCCGCGTTGCGCAATGAGGGCACATCGCCCATCACGCTCACGGGCTCGCCACTTTTTGTTGTGATGCATGTTACCCCCTCCTCCATTGGCCCCGCCTTCGTGGCAGCAGCTCCTCGTTGCGGCTAACGCTCGGGGGCATGCACGCACGGCGGCCACCGCGGGATGCCCCAGACACGCGCCACTCTCGAGCTTCTATTTGCGCGATCTGGCCACCTTGCGAAATTAGGGCAC